AAAATGATAGCGGAGATGTTGACAATTAAATATCTGATTGACAGGTTGTCAGGCAGTTGTCAGGAGCAACACACATAAATGCAGATTTTGATGCTTCTGAGGTGCCCCGATTTGAAGTCAGCCTCAGTGCTGTTGGAGTTCGAATAGTGCATTCGACAGGCACTTCTGGAAAACTGCACTCCTTGTACTCACTTGATGCCCTCCAAAGCCATGAATTTCCCCAGTAATTTTCTCCCCTCCCCAAATTGGTTATTTTTTGGAGTGTTCCGGTTGGCGTATGGGGGGGGGGGGGGGGGGCGGGTGGTGAGGTTCCTCCTCAAAGCAGCGAGCAGCACTTGTAGGTGTTTTATGATGAGGGTAGTGGTGGTGGTAGTGGTGATAATGGGGAGTGGAGCTGTAAATTTACTCTATGTTCTTACCATTTCAGAGCTAATCCAGAATTTGGGACGTATCAGTCTACCTCAGTTGGTAGGAAGCACTCATCTGAATAAGAAGATTGTGGGTTCTAGTCCCACATCAGAACTTTGAACTCACATAGTGCACACTGAGTCTCCAATTCAGTGCTGGGGGAGTCCTGCATTGTCAGGATGCTGCCCTTTGGATGAGATGTTAACCCAAGGTCCAATCTGCCTGCTCAAGTGCATATTATGATCCCACATAGCGTTACTCGACAAGGGGAGGGGGTTTCTTTCAGTGTCCTGGCCAACAATCTTCCAAATATAATTGGTCATTCACTTCATGGCTGTTTGTGGGACACTGTTGTGCTCAAATGGACTGCTGTGTTCATTCACAAAATACACAGTCACTTTGCAGTAAGTTCTGTGAAGTGCTTTGAGATGTCCTCCTGATGTGAAAGATGCTGTAGCAAAAGCAAGAATTATCATTGTAACGCTACCACATACAAGTTTTTTTCTTTTTTTTAACAATGCGAGAGGGGAATGAGCGATGACTTGTTGGAATAAGAACAACAAAACCAATATTGCCTCTCAATATATTGCCCGCCTCCGAGTGTACCTTACCCCAAATGCAGCTGAAACCCTCGTGCATGCGTCACCTCACGCTTGGATTACTCCAACGCACTCCTCGCCAGCTCCACCATTCACAAGATCCAGCTCATTCAAAACTCTGCTGCCCACGTGCTGATCCGGACCAAACTCCATACCCACATCTCAGAAGTTCTGGTCAGGCTCCACTGGCTCCCCATCACTGAACGGATTGACTTCAAGATCCTCACACTCATGTTCAAATCCTTCACTCCCTGGCACCTCCCTACCTCTCCGATCTCCTCACTCCCCAAACCAGCACCCGGCGCCTCCGCTCAACTGGCACCGGCTTCCTGCTCATCCTTTGCACCCTCCGCCTCACCATCGGAGGTCGCGCTTTCAGCCACTGCCCCCAAAACTCTGGAACGCTCTTCCTCAATCCTTCCGCCTTGCTCCCTCTCTCCCCTTTCAAATCCCGCCTGAAAACTTTCCTCTTCGGCCGTACTTACGGCCACCTCCTGCCTCCCCCTGGCTCAGAGTCAGACTCTACCACTGTTTAGCGATCTGAGACTCTACCATGCATGGAGGGCGCTATATAAGTGCAAGTTGTTGTTGTTGAAATGCTGTGCAGCAGGGCGGGTTACTGTCATTGACTTTCCTCTGCAGCAGATCAGAGAAGGATTGTTTCTGATCATAAAATTCACTCTCAGCCAGCCGCTAACCTATTTAAAAATAGGCAAAAGAACTTGCAAACTTCTTATGAACTATTTTATTTCTTATGGGTCAAAAATGCCTGTATTCTGCAAATGATAAATCCTTATAAAACAAGATTAAAACATAAATATTTCATTTTCAGCTTTTCAAGAACACTTCACTGCGCAGAAGTGTCACCCTTCTCATCCACTCTGCATTGACATGAATATTTCATGCTATTTATTCCCATACTTTCACACACGAGAAAACAATTATATACGCTTAACAAAACACATTTATTTTTATGCCTGTGACCTAAGATGCCCAGGTTGATGCATTCATGTCACCTGAAGTGTCTTTTTACTCATGGAAGTGTTGCTGTGGTACAGAAAACTGGTGCCCAGCTTATGAATGCAAGAGACTGGGGATGTCATTGTGATGGTGCTTTTGATACATTTTCTGGGGTATGTTTCCAGGCCATCAGTCACCCTCTTGTGGATGCCCAAGTGACTATTATTCATGACTTGATGCTGATCGTTGACACGATATTTGATGCGATGGGTGTTTCAACCAAATTTGATTCCGTTCTCACTCGATACTTATACTCACACATACACACAAACACATGCCTTCTAGCAGTCATCTTTGGATAGGAATCAGAAGCAAGAACCCAACCTCCAATGCTTTCTCTCCCAAGGCCAATTATTTGCATTCCAACTGCTGCTCTGGCTGAGATCAGATACCATAGCCTTGAAATGGAATTTGAACAAGAAATCATCAAGTCTGCTTTTCAATTGAGTTAGTGCTTTTACAATGAGACCAACTGGGCTGCATTTTTGTTGTGCCTGCAAATATTCATTGGAGTTTGGGTTCTTAGTGTGTACAGTTGGGGAAAAGAGGAATGAAATGTTAACCTTGAGAAATGTATCAGAAAATTTAGATTAAATCAAGCAATTCAGCTCAAAAGAATGCCATCTTCCTTATGCACATTACTGGGGGTTGCGGATATCAACACTTCTGTAAGAGTGGGATGTGTGGTATGGGGTAGCTTTTTGTGGTAGAGACATGCAGGAAGGTGGAGATAGCTTTTGTTTCTTTTCATGATCATCATTTGAACAGAGTGGATCGCCTCTTTGGAGAAACATTCATGCCATTGGCAGCACTCGAAGTCCATCTCCTGTCACAGCTGCTGCCCAGTACTCAGAAGATAAAGAAGAGTGACACTTAAGAGTTTATCATATTTAATTGACTCTCTCGAGCGCTCGGAGTACAATTGACTGTAATGAATTCATGAAACGAGTAAATTATTGAAAACTGGACTCAAGCGCATTTTTTTAATATTTCATACAAATTCATAGATTTGTTCTAAGGACACTTCGAGGTTTAGGCTTCATCCTGGTTTAGTTCTGATGCAGCACACCCTCTCCTCAATCACGTACCCTACTTACCTAATCCTGGAAAATTTAGGTGGAGATTGGCAAGAGCTAAGGCTTGGGGGGGAACGCTAAGAATATGGAGTCCTGTAGCTCAGTGCTTAGAGCACTCGCTTTGCAAGTGAGAGACCTGAGTTCAGCTCCAGGCAGAGGGCGAAACCTTGGGCAAGTTTCCTTACTCCACACAGAGCCTAATAATAATCCCTCCAAAACCAAAAACAATAATAAATTGGTCATTCTCAATCTACGACCGTTTGTGGGACATTGCTGTGCGCAATTGGCTGCGCGTTCGCCCACAAATATACAGTCAATTCACTTTACAGTGTGTTCTGTGAAGCGCTTTGGGACGTCCTCCCGACGTGAAAAGCGCTATATCAAATGCAAGGATTATTATTATTATTATTATAAGGTCCTACAATAAATGCAAGGATTATTATTATTATTATTATTATGATTGAAGCAGTCATGGGTTACGGGACAAAATTATTATTCTTTTTAAGATTATTACCCCCGGAAAAGCGATTGCTGGGTAAGCAGAGGCGCGGGGAGTAAGGAAACTTGCCTAACGCTTCGCCCGCCCGGGAATCGAACCCGGGTCCTCTCGCTCTCACCCCTGAGCTGCACCGCACCTCGATTTTTGAAACCGTTGGCGTCTGTTTGCAGTGAAGCGGTTCAGGTGACGGCTGCAGAGTGACAGGAGCTGAGAGAGAAGAACCCCCACCCCTCCCCACCCCCCAGATAATAATAATAATAATAATAATAATAATCCTTGCAGGGCATTGGCACAAGTGGGGAGCCCTTTCCAAACTGGGTAACAAAAGCTCTTCTTGGGGGTGGGGGTGGGGGGCAGATATACTTTTGCAGGTTTTAATTTTTTTTAATGTTTTAATTTTTTTATTGGTTTTAAAAAAAGCCGTTTTTCTCACCCCCGCCACAGAAGAAACCCCCCCCCCCCCGCCCACACCAAAAAAAATCGCCCAAAAAGGACACGAACCCGCCCCAAAATAACCCAAACCTGCCCAAGACAACCCAAACCCGCCCAAAACAACCCAAACCCGCCCCAAAACAACCCAAAACCCGCCCAAACCAACCCAAACCCGCCCCAAAACAACCCAAACCCGCCCCAAAACCGCCCCAAATCCGCCCCAAAACAACCCAAAAACGCCCCAAAACAACCCAAAACCGCCCCAAAACAACCCAAAAACGCCCCAAAACAACCCAAAAACGCTCCAAAACAACCCAAAAACGCCCCAAAACAACCCAAAACCGCCCCAAAACAACCCAAAACCGCCCCAAAACAACCCAAATCCGCCCCAAAACAACCCAAAAACGCCCCAAAACAACCCAAAAACGCCCCAAAACAACCCAAACCCGCCCCAAAACAACCAAACCGCCCCAAAACAACCCAAACCCGCCCCAAAACAACCCAAACCCGCCCCAAAACAACCCAAACCCGCTCCAAAACAACCCAAAAACGCCCCAAAACAACCACAAAAAACGCTCCAAAACAACCCAAACCCGCCCCAAAACAACCCAAACCCGCCCCAAAACAACCCAAAAACGCCCCAAAACCGCCCCAAAACAACCCAAATCCGCCCCAAAACAACCCAAAAACGCCCCAAAACAACCCAAAAACGCCCCAAAACAACCACAAAAAACGCTCCAAAACAACCCCAAAACGCCCCAAAACAACCCAAACCCGCCCCGACCTGGTCACGGTGGTGGTGGTGGTGATGGGGGGATTGAGGGCGGGGCCGCGAGGCAGGACAGGCGGCGCTCACTCACTTGCCCATAAAAGGAGGCGTTTCCTGACACCGGACGTGACGATGTAACGGTCAAATTTCAAACCACCGCGTCGCATAGAATGTTGTCACTTCCGGCCGGCCGGCCTGGCGCTTACAGACAGGGAGCAGGTCAGTGGCGATCAGTCCCCACACACACACACACACACACAGTCCCGTCTCTCCCCCTCCCCCCCCCCCCCCCCCAGGACTGTCAGCGACATCCAACACCAACTACTGCTGTTCATATAAATAATAATAATAAATTGGTCACTTCAATCCACCACCGTTTGTGGGACACTGCTCTGCGCAATTGGCCGCCGGGTTTCGCCCACAAATATACGGTCCAATTCACTGTACAGTCTGTTCTGTGAAGCGCTTTTTGAGACGTGGAGAAGACGTGACGAGCGCTATGTCACACGCGAAGGGCTATTATAACACTCGGCGTCTCTCAGCACAGGGCAGTGTGGGAGCCTGACCCGGAGTGGGGGGGGGAGGAGGTGAGCGTTAGCACCAGAGGTCGAAGAGGAAGGTCTTCAGGTGACACCGAAAAGGGGGGGGAAGGAGAGGGCCACGCGGCGGGAGGGAGAGGGCCACGCGGCGGGAGGGGGAGAGGGCCACGCGGCGGGAGGGGGAGAGGGCCACGCGGCGGGAGGGAGAGGGCCACGCGGCGGGAGGGAGAGGGCCACGCGGCGGGAGGGAGAGGGCCACGCGGCGGGAGGGAGAGGGCCACGCGGCGGGAGGGAGAGGGCCACGCGGCGGGAGGGGGAGAGGGCCACGCGGCGGGAGGGAGAGGGCCACGCGGCGGGAGGGAGAGGGCCACGCGGCGGGAGGGGGAGAGGGCCACGCGGCGGGAGGGAGAGAGACGAGCGCCCCAGAGTTTCGGGGCGCAGTGGCTGGCAGCGTGCGCGGCGGGCGGCCTGTGGTGGAGTGGAAGGCGCGACGCACAGTCAGGGCGCCTCGCAGGGCCAGTCGAGGCAGCTGGTGCCACAGAGGGGAGAAAGCAGGTCGGAAAGGTTAGGGAGGGATTGGTGCACGAGTGAGAGAATCTCGACACCGATCCGTTCTGTGTTAGGGAGTCAGTGGGACCCTGTGGGGAGGACTGGTGTGATGGGGGCACAGAGCTTAGTGTGGATGAGAATATGGGCAGAGCTGATAGAGATCAGTTGTAGTCTGTGGGTTGTGGAGCTGGGGTGTCAGTCGGGGAGGGAGGTAATGAAGACGTGGAGGATCATTTTGGCTGTGTTTGAAGTGAGACACGGTTGGAGGTGGGCAGTGTGAAAGAGGTGGAGGAAAGCGGTCTTGGTTAGAGCACTCGCTTTGTAAGTGAGAGACCTGAGTTCAATTCCAGGCAGAGGGCGAACCCTTGGGCAAGTTTCCTTACTCCACACAGAGCCTAATAATAATCCCTCCAAAACCAAAACAATAATAAATTGGTCATTTTCAATCTACGACTGTTTGTGGGACATTGCTGTGCGCAATTGGCTGCCACGTTCGCCCACAATATACAGTCAATTCAGTTTACAATGTGTTCTGTGAAGCGCTTTGGGACGTCCTCCTGACGTGAAAAGCGCTATATCAAATGCAAGGATTATTATTATTATTATTATTGGTTGGGGACCGAATGTGGGGGAGAAGGGACAACTGGGGTAAACCTGAAGCCCAGGTTAAGTCCGGTTCCGGTAAATCTTAGGGATAGGCTGGAGATGTTGAGGAGTTCAGAGCAAGGATAGAGCAGGTGACTGTGCTGGGGCAGAAGGAAAAAAAACGTTTGTGGAGATTAAGTGATGGTAGTTGGTTAAGTAGGACTTGAACCAAGTAAGTACGCTCCCGTGGCAGTGGATGAGTGGAGGAGGATAGCGTGATTGACTGTAGAATGGGCAGAGCGGTCCAGGAGGACAAGGAGGCAGAGCCCTGGTCACCGAGAGAGAGGATGTCATTAGTGGCTTTGATTCGTGTCTCTCCGCTGTGAGCTGGGCGGAAACAAGAACAACTCGCATTTATATAGTGCCCTCCATGCCCGGCGGTGTCTCAGAGCACTTAACAATGGCAGAGCCCGAGGCAGAGCCAGGGGGAGGGTGAAAGTGACTATGGGAGTGGTCGAAGAGCAAGGTCTTCAGTCCCGACCTGAAGATGGGGAAGGAGGGAGCGAGGCAATTGAGGGAGGGAGTTCCAAAGTTTTGGGGCGTAGTGGCTGAACGCACGGCCGCCGATAGTGGAGCAGAAGATTCGGGGGACACGGAGGAGGCCGGACCCAGTAGAACGGAGGCAGCGGATACTGCTGTGGGAAGAGAGGAGGTTACAGAGATATGGGGGTACCAAGAAATTGAGGGATTTATACACTTGAGTGAGCATCTTGAACCAGACTGGAGGAGCTCGAGAAGGGAGTGGAGGGAGAGGTGAGAGCGAAGTTGATTTGCAACAACATGTTCCAGAACTTTAGCAAGGAAAGGCAAGTCAGTAGGTTTGAGGGATCAAGGGTATTTTTTTTTGAGGATCGTGTTGTGTTGGTGAACGGATTGATTTCAAGCTCCTCACACGTGTTTCCAAATCACTTCATGCCCTGGCACCTCCCTACCTCACTGACCTGCTTACTCCCCAGCAACGCTTCCCGTTTTCCCGTTGCCTGCGCTCGATTGTCTGCTTCTTGCTTGTCCCTCGTGGCCTCTATTCCACCATCGGTGGCTGTGCTTTCAGCCACTGCTCCAAAACTCTTGAACACTCTGTCAATCCCTCTGCCTTGCCCCATCCTTCCCCATCTTCAGATTGCGTCTGAAGACCTTCCTCTTCTATGGTAATCTCAGCTCAGCATTGTGCTTCGCCACTGTCAGGCATTTTGGCACACTACCCTGCGTGAGGAGGGCTATTTAAATGCAAGTTGTTGTTGTGATGGTGGTTGAGAGGGAGGAAGGAGAAATGGGGCAAAGGAGAGTAGAGTGGAAGAGTAGGTGATGTACTGGGCCAATAGAGAGGTGCAGCCACAATTTTTGACACCTGGTCTCAGCACTCTGTTGCCGATTGTTTACCTGACGCTACTGTGGTCGGAGCGTCTCCAGACACACACGTGATGGGGAGGAGGAGGGAGACAGTCCTTCAGAATCCGGGTGTTAACTATCTTGGAAATGAAGAAGTCCAGGAGCTCTTCGCACTTCAAGGCAAGGATCGAGGGTGCTTGAGGGCGCACAAAGGTGGTGAGTGGTGGAGAACAACACGTTTAAGATTATTTCAGCCTCCAGAATGGCCTTGGAGTAAAAGGCAGATTTGGCCTGAGAGAGGGAGAGGCAATAGGAACTCAGATGCTTGAGCCACATTTGGCGGTGAATCTTGAGGCCGGGTTTGTGCCAATTGCGCTCGAGCATCTGGGTTTGGAATTTGAGGGAGCAGAGGTGGCTGTTATATCAGGGTGAGCAAGTGGGTTTGGAGATGGCTTTAGATTTCAGGAAGACAAGGGAATTACTACCCCTGCCCCGCCCCGGATTCTGTCCACAGTTATAGCATTCTCCCCAGGCTCTGTCTACATTTATTATAATGCTTACCTCGCTCAAGCTGTTTAGCAGAAGATATGTCTGGAGTGATGGTGCCTCCCGGGAACCGATATTTCTGCACAGCCAGCAGAGGCACGGAGAGATTCCTGGCGGAAGAAGTGTGTCTGAAACTGTCTGCCTCTAATGTGAGTAAATAAAGCACTACAGTAATAAAGGACTAGCTGTCCTGTCTCTCAAATTCAAACCCCTAATCTCTCCAGCTCCTCAAAACTCCTTGCTCCTGTTTCGAGCCGCTCCAAACCCCTTTATTGGGGCTTGGGGAGGACTGTAAAGAGAGGCTGGGATCTGGAGGGAATGGCCAGGGTCTGTTAAACAGAGGCATTTATTCTATGTGGATTAGGTAGATGGAGGATATTATGATTATGTTAAATCACTCACAATACAATGATGTGTCTTATAATTTGGGGATCTTTTAGCCTATCCAAATAGAAAATATGATGTGGTAGGAGGAGCGCTATTTTGTTTTTAACATTTTATGAAGGTTTGCTACTTTCAATCAAAATTACATTCTTTTTATTTGTTTTGTCATAGCAGCTCTTCCCCACACTGTGCTAGGGCTCAGATTGCCCTCTAGGCCCTGCCTGTCGCTGCAAATTTGAATGCCAATATAATGGGATAATATTTAATTTTCTCCTCACCTCTTCCATTCCTTTGAGGAAATGCTAGTGTCTAATTATAATATCCCTTTGAAAATCGGTTAAGGACTCAAAACTCTGGATCTTCACTCTGTGTATTTCAAAGGCATTCAGACGCTTTAACCAAGAAAGGGATGGATTTGTGTAGCAGAATGCTACCCTATGTTATTTAGACAGTATATTTAATTTTTACATGCAACTATGTTACACTGTCTATAAAATAAAAAGTTTAGAAGCTTCAAAAAGATCAAACATAAGACCCTAAATTCTCCTGATCTGAGCCTGAAAGACCATTTTGTCTTAAGCTTTAAAATTGTGCAGATTGATTCGTTCTTAATTTGGAATCTGTTTCTTCTGCGGTTATTAAAAAGAAATTCAAATGAATTCAAGAATTTAATTCTGCACAATTTTAAGGTTTAAGACAACATTAATTTAAGTTTTAATTTGGTAATTGGTTTAATTTACCAGCCTTCTCATTCATAGAAATGAGCTATGTAGCTTCATATGGTTTCTAGATTGGCTGTAACATTTTATGAATTGATAGTTATTTTTAGCATTAATTCCACTGACAGGCATCGTATTTGATAAATAAAGTGGAAATTGTATTATTCCTTCTTTCTTGTCAGGTGGAACAAATCTCTGGAAAAGTGTTCTTTACATCTGAAGCAGATTTGAAAAAACTGAAGAGTCTGAAATGCGCAGAAAGACTGTTTCTACTTGTGAAAAAGTTACCTCCACTTCAGATTCCTGGATATAGAGGTATGACATTTGTTTTCAAAAAAAATGGCCAGCTCTTAAGGTATTTAACTATAGCACATCTTCAATTTCAATGCTGGTGTGTAACTACAGCAGTAAATGTCAGCTTGTCTCAGTTGGTAGCACTTTCACCTCTGAGACAGAAGGCTGTGGGTTCAAGCCCCAAGCCTTGGAAGTCACCTCGTCTAAGCTGACACTCCAATGCAGTGCTTAAGAACGCTGCATTGTTGGAAGAGCCGTGTTTCAGATGAGACATTAAGCCCAGGTCCCGTCTGCGTTTTCAGATGCATGTTAAAGATCCCATGGCGCTATTCAAAAAGAGAGGGAAGATTCTCATGGTGCCCTGGCCAACAATTCTCCAAATAAAATTGTTCATTGCTTCATGGAAAATTGTGTACAAATTTGCTGTATTGGTTTACATAACACACAACACTTTTCAGTATATTTAGTGAAGCACTTCGGGACGTCCTCCTGACGTTAAAGGCGTTCTACCAAATGTAAGGATTACTATTAATAAATATGTTTACCATGTATTTGACTATTAGACCTTATATTCTCTTGTACAAAGATGGAAATAAAGTATTTATTTCCTGTAGCTTTGTTTGCAGTTATATTCAAACTGGTTGCATCAGCGAAACCCCAAATGAGCATCCTTCGAAATAAGTGAAGCACATACACCTCCTCTAATAGTCTGAACGTAGGCTTTTTTACATTCCACTTATAGGTTGTCTGTTGTTGATTCAGCAGTACTTTAGCTGCTTCTATTTTTACAGCAAAACTCAAGTTTTTTCTTTGTTTTAAATTCCAAGGAAAAGGAATTTATGTTCTTCAGAAATGTGTGATTGGAGAACCTAGCCAATGGTTGAACAGTGTTTCCACATGGGAAAATCTTCAGGACTTTCATAAACCAGAAGAACAAACTTTAGGTGTGACTGAAAACGGGCTAAAACGGCCATCCCAGGAAGAAAGCAATGAGACAAAGACTAAAAGAGAAAAGTTAGACAGTGACCTAGATGAAGCCGCAGTTACAGCCCCGGATAAAAGTCCAACCGGACAATCTGATCTCCTTTCAAAAACTCAAGGAAACCGCCAGGAAAGTGTTACAGCATCACAGAGCACACTGCCCCCTGATGAGCCATGTAAGCCTACGAATGAAAGTGATACCACCAGAATGAGTTTCAGAGTCTCCTGTCGTTGCAGTGGCAAAATGGCTAAAAGGTTTACTGCACAGGTAATTATTTTCAAATGTATTATGTAATAATAATAATCCTTGCATTTGATATAGCGCTTTTCACGTCTTCTCGACGTCTCAAAGCGCTTCACAGAATATACTGTAAAGTGAATTGACTATATTTCTGGGCGAACGCGGCAGCCAATTGCGCACAGCAATGTCCCACAAACAATCGTAGATTGAAAATGATCAATTTATTATTGTTTTGTTTTTTGGAGGGATTATTATTAGGCTCTGTGTGGAGTAAGGAAACTTGACTAAGGTTTCGCCCTCTGCCTGGAATTGAACTCAGGTCTCTCGCTTACAAAGCGAGTGCTCTAACCACTGAGCTACAGGACTCCATAATACTGCATAATACTGCATAATGCACAGGGAATTAATATTGCAGGAACTTTGAGCAGAACAGAGAAGTTCTGAAACAAAATGATTTTTTTACTCTGTAATTGGAGAAAACCAAGGCAGATTTATAATTTGTAGGCTGTTTTCCCTTCCCTGTAAAACACTTTGGGATGTTTTAATTTTCCAGGTGCTGCATCAAATGGTAGGATTGTTGCATATTTTCCTGTAAGTCCTTATCTGCTCCTTTAAGGAGGGAGGGAATTTGGAGGTTTGGAGCTCGGTGGTTAGAGCACTCGTCTGGCAAGCGAGAGACCTGGGTTCGGTTTCCGGCAGGACAAAACCCTGGGCAAGTCTCCTTACTCCACATGCCTGAAAATAATCCCTCAAGAAAAAACACATAATAAATTGGTCACTTCAATCCACGACTGTTTTTGGGACACTGCTGTGCACAATTGGCTGCCGAGTTTCGCCCACAAATATACAGTCAATTCACTTTACAGTATATTCTGTGAAGCGCTTTGAGACGTCCAGAAGATGTGAAAAGCGCTATATCAAATACAAGGATGATTATTTTTATTATTATTGAAACACTGCAGTATAATAAAGCCTATTGCAAATGTACCAGAAGTCAGTGGTTAATGAAATAGTGTGACTGGTTGCTGAGCTGGCATTAATTCTGCGCTTCAAGAATATTGTGTAAATTTAAAAAACTAATGTACAGGTTTTTAAAAAGGCCACTTTTCCACTGCTATAGTGTTTGCTTAAAAAACAATGCAGATCACGTTTCTGTTTGAGACGCCTGGTTGCTTAAAGCATTCTTCTCCAGCCCCCACACTGTCGTGTCCCCCAGTGCTCTGTCCTTGGCCCTCTCCTCTTTAATATCTACATGCTCCCCCTTGGTGACATCATCCGCAGACATGGGGTCAACTTCCACATGTGTGCAGATGACACCCAACTCTATCTTTCTGCCTCCACCCTCAACTCCAGTACCACTGCTGTCCTGACAGACTGTCTGTCGGACATCAAGTCCTGGATGAGGGCAAATTTCCTACAGTTGAATGTGAACAAGACTGAGGCCCTCCTGATTGGCTCACACCAGCGCCTCAGCACCTCAGGCTCTGGCAACATCAACCTCCATGGTTGCACACTGCAACTCACCAAGACAGACCTAGGGGTCTTGTTCGACCCTCAACTGTCTTTTCTCCCTCACATTCAACCAATGACCCGCTCTGCCTTCCCTCACCTCCGTAACACATCGCCCGACTCCGCCACTACCTCACCCCTCAGGCCGCTGAAACTCTTGTTCATGCCTTCATCACCTCCAGGCTCGACTATGCAAATGTCCTGCTTGTCAGCCTTCCCAACTCCTCCCTCCACAGGCTGCAGATAATCCAGAACTCTGCAGCCCGTGTCCTCTCCCGCACCAATCTCCGTGATCCCATCTCCCCCACCCTCGCCCGACTCCATTGGCTCCCTATCCTTCAAAGGATCCAGTTCAAAATCCTGGACCTCACCTACAAAGCCCTCCATGACCTCGCCCCACCCTATCTCTGTGACCTCCTAACCCCCTACCAACCCACCCACTCGCTCCACTCAGCCATCTCCGGCCTGCTCCATGTCCCCAGACCCACCCGCCCATCATTGGCAGGAGAGCCTTCAGCCACACTGCCCCCAACCTCTGGAACTCCATCCTCCAATCAAACCGCCTCACCCCCCTCCTTAGCCTCTTTCAAGTCCCTTCTCAAGACCCTCCTCTTCGACTATGTCATTGGTCACCCCCCTTCCCCTCCCCTCCCTTCTCCCCCCTGACCGGAGCTCGGGTCTGAAATGCTGCACAGTGCCAGTCCCAGTGCCTTGGGACTTACTCCCGATGTGAAAGGCACTATACAAATCTTGTTGTAATCTTGTTGTTGTTGATCATCTTTAGATTTGCATTGAGTTACAATGTGACTCACAAGATCACATTTGAGATTGTTCCTAACTTGTATTTGGACTAAGTGTATTTCTACAATACAGTACTCCTTTTGCTGATTTTACTCCTGATTTTCAAATTGCACATTGTCACTGTAAATTTATATTACAAGATGTGTTGGGTGGAAACATTATTGCCAGGGGCAATTTTGGAAGTGCTAAAAGTGGTAGCCCATAAAATCCATGGACACTACAATTTACAGTAAATTTTGTGACGTTTCGATGATGAGATGTGAAATCCACTGATTGCTATAGTGTGCTAAAAAAATGCAACAAATGAAAAAATTATTATTCAGACAGGTACTGATGAAGAATCCTTTGATTTGATTCTTTCTAGAATATTCATCTTACCATCATGTCATTAAACCATCAAACTATTTCTTAAATAACTCCAGCATACTGTCTTCTACTATATCATAAATTTTCAACTCTTCCTGGCCAGGTTTTCACAGACGCAGAATGTGAATTTGCAGTTTTTTTGTTGAAGATCATAAGGCCTTGATTGTGAATGTACTGATCCTGCAGATATTATTCCTTCACAGGAGTTGGGAAGAGCAATTGGGGTTGCACTTGCCAAGGAAATGGGCTGGAAAGCAGAGTTGAGAAACCCTACACTCGAGGTAAGAGCATAGCAATTGGGTACCTGCATTCAGATTTGTCCTTACCTTCATGTCAGCCACAGAAAATGTAGTCAATATCCTGAGTTTTGTACCCTGTGCTTGGAGCCTTATTTTATTATGTGCCCATGATGTTAGTGATTTATCTTATAGAAAGGTTTCTGCTTAATTTCACATGATCTTGTGCTATGCTGCCAAATTCACTTCACATCTTGCCACATGGGCCAAAAATATCAGCATAATATATGATGCTTAAGCCAGTTCTGCAAATTTATGAATCACCACATTTGCATTTTAAAATTGTACATCAATCCAAGAAGCCAACACTGAGTACTACTGGCAAAGCTTCATAAACCTTAATGAAATACTTTTAAACAGTCCTACCTCAGTCACTATGGTGGTTTCGGGGACAACCTCTGTACATCCCAAAATGGCTCTGTTAACTTCAGTCGGAAACAGCATTTTAAATTGATTTATGAACAAATCTGCAGCTACTGAAGCTGGACCAAAATCACTATGCCTGACTTTAATTTAGTCATCACACCTGTCATAAGGAAAGACCTTTATTTCTTAATGAGATACATTCAGTTGGAGCTAATAGAAACCTTTCTGTTTACCTATTGTTTGCTTGCCAAGGTTGCAGGATGTTTTGGGCAAAGGATATCTAACCCTGTTGTTACCTAAGTAAAACCTTCTCAACTTGCTTCCAGCAGCTACCAGGGTTAAATCTCTGATTTTTTTGCCTAGTGATTCTGATTGAAATTAATTTAGTGGCGCCAGGTTGTGTCTGAGATCTACTTCAATAGAACAGCTGAGGGGGAAGTGGATCTGGAACATCAGATGGTATACAAGACTAAAAATAACTAGTCAAAATTGCCAAGGTTTTCTATAAGGTAGTAAACAGCATTTTGATGGTTTTTTACTTTTAAAGAGAGATTTACTTTGAATGGAAAATATTTTTGTCATTTAGTCCAGCTACTGAATTATTTAAATCTCGAGTTCTATGCATATCCTGTGCATGCCTGTACTATTAAATAGTTATCATTTATAAACTACTTTTCTAACGTATGTGATACCAATTAGATTTAATTCAATGCCTTCTTTGCAGGTCTTTATTCATTTAAGTGACATTCATTGTGTGGTTGGAATTCCTATTGTGAGGTATCAATCTTTATAATTATTTTGCTTGACTTTTTTTCTTAATTGCTAGCACGTTATTACACATTGTACACGCATTCTAACTAGCATGTGTTCTTGTATATGTCCTAGGCTCCCTTTAGCTAGCAGAGATTATATTAAAACCGTTGGATTAAGATCTACTGTAGCTTGGGCAATGGCATATCTCGCTGACATCAAGGTAGGCATCAATGTTTTAATAATATTTGTGATTGAATATGGGATTTTTGCTTATTAACTACATAAAGTATTGCGCTTCCCTGCAGCCACTTAACTGAGATCAATTACATAATTTTTCACTCTGTTTTTCCCAGGACCTCAAACTGAAACTTCTAATCTCCTTCGGTATCCTCTTCTTTCTGCAATAATGAAGCCTCTCAAAGCTAAACATAGTTTGGCTTGTCGTTACTTCTGAATTTATCTCTTCTACCCTATTTTTTTCAACTTGGTGGTATCCTGCATTATGTATCTAATGTATATTTACTGAGCTGTGATGTTGATGGTGGTAAGTACTGTATACTATACTGTGATAATTTTTAAATTGCATCATGCAACTATAAAACATAGGACTATTTCCCCCTGTTTCTAGACTGGTTCATTTGTCTTGGATCCAATGTGTGGAATGGGAACCATCTTGGTGGAAGCTGCCAAAGAATGGCCTGTAAGTAATGAATCAGAACATTCTGCATGTCGAGCGAGCAGGGCAAGTTGTTTTTTGAACATTGCATAATATTAAAGCTGAGGCATTACTGAACTGCCTCGTTTAAATTCATATTAAATTACTGTACGGGTGGGCAGCAGTAGCCAAATATGTCTGGTAGGACATTGATAAAGTTTGGGCCTACTTGTACAAATTGCTGATATGATCAGTTAAAATAGTTTTTTTTTAGTAAACTCAGAAGACAGCAACATTTAAAAGAAAAGCTGCACTCAGAACTTACTATATTTTCACCATTCCGTATTTCTTACCACAATTTTTTTATCGTCTTAATAACTGCTTCAGTTTTTGCTTTGAAGAAGACAGTTTACTACTGGAGAATGAAGCAGTTATCAAGATGGTAAAAAAATTGTGGTGAGAAATGCAAAAGAAAGAAAGTTGCTGTCGCATTTATTTGCCGATCACAATGTTCTGCTTTGCTTTCTCAGTTTTGACAGAAAAAGTCCCTGATCTTCCTGCATTATCCTGTCCATTATTCCATGTAAAATTTACAAGTTTACCTCCAAATAATTTTGATATGATATATGGTTTCTTGATCTGGATTTTTTTTGGAGGGTGGGGGCAGCCAGTTATCTGATGTACATAAAAATCCCATACATAAGAGTCCAAACCAAAATATTGAGAGTTCCACATATGTATGGTTTCCGTTTATCTGGTATAGAGTGAGTACTCTCTTCCCCATAGGAACACTCCCAGAGAATTAGGTGCCGGTTGGCAACAACCATAACTTAAAGATACCAGAGCGTACATTGGGGTGCTGCAGGAGATTAACTAAAACCCCACAGGCAACCATTGAAAATGAAGGCAGGCATGCATGTCCATTTAGAACCACCTTGCTCTTTAGGGCTTTGGCTTGCAGTGTTAACAGCATTGAATGGGAAAAATTCCATCCCAATGACTCCTGGTGTGCTCCTCCGAGTTTGAATAATGAGCCAGGCTGGTTGTTTCATCATCACCAGTGTTTTGGGATACCGAGGACCTAAGGTTGGGTATCAGACTACTGAGACTGCCATAGAGAATCAATTGTATTCTGATCTTACAATTTCTAAGCTGGTCTCCTTTCTTATCGCCCGGAGGTTGATCAATCAAATCTGATAAACACCAGTTTTGAGCCCTCATTGAGTGGATAGCAGGTACCAATAACACTTTGGGAGCCACTCAGCAGAAAACGAGTGAGAGTATTGCTACCATTCTTCTGCTCCCCCACAAAGCCTGTTTTCTTACACCAACCATTGAGAGATGGTTCAACCAGCTGGGGATTCAGAAGTTTAGCAGCAGCTCTTTACTGATCTGTGTACCGATGAAGGTAGACACCAATCCCTGGATATATGACCATGGGTTTGTATGAAACAATGTTTTGCTTTGTTATTGAATACTGGAAATTCAGGAAAGGAAACTATTCCAGATGACTGAATGAAAATTTCTGTATTTATAGGAAAACTCTATCCTCTTAGTTGTAGCATGATGAAATTGACTATTTTGTTACGTTTACTCCTCCCCCCCCACCCCTTTTACAGAATGCCTATTACCAAGGGATTGACAACAATACCTCACAGTTAAAGATAGCATCCACCAATGTATGCTTTGCAAAGCTAGCTGGCAACATTGATCTAATGAGAGCTTCTGTCACAGGTATTGGTGAATTCTATGTACTCTGTCAAATGCAAGATTTATACTTTTCAATGATTTAGCTGTACCAAACTTTCAGTTAATAATGTGTGTTTCAAATTAGTTTTAGTTTTCAAGTTTAGAACTTTAGTTAATAGCACTGTTGCCTCTGAGTCAGACGTCTGTGAGTTCAAACCTAATTTTGGGACTTTGAGCTCCCAGTCCAGGCTGAAACTCAGAGCAGTGATGGGGGAATGCTTCGTCAGAGATTCCATCCTTCAATGACACATTAAATTGAAGTCCCATCTGCATGTTCAAGGGGATGATAAAAATCCCATGACATTATTTGAAAAGGAAACAGTGCCAGTAATTCCATAGATTTTTTTTAAAAATGGCCAATCATTTCATGGCTTTTTGTGGTCATTGCTGTGTGTAACTAGACTAATTAATAATTAGTTAACTTTCATGTTGGGAGGACGTCTTAAAAGGATATACTGTAAAATGTAATGACTATTTTGTGAGTAAATTTAATTTCTCAGCGTTTTAAATTTGGTCAAATGGATTTAATACATGGTGAATATTATAGAGTAGCGTTTTGGACCCCATAAACAATGTATTCATGTGTACATAGGGTATTGTGGAACCATAACTTCATGGCCCCCAATCTAATCAATGTTTTCATTATTTGGTTCACTGGATGTCTCATGAGAAGCTTGTGGAACAATTCAATTCCTTGCTTAATTTTAAAATGTGTATTTTTTACGATAAACATTTAATTACTGCGTTGTACATTGCAGAACTGCCTCTTCTTTCTGAAAGTGTGGATGTAGTCATTTGTGATGTTCCATTTGGAAAAAAGTTTAAAATTTCACAAGACTCAAAGACCGCAATGCCACATATTATCAGAGAGATGGTGAGGTAAGTCACATCAAGTACCAGTGCTCTTTCTCAATCTAAATGTCAGTCTCATATATTGTTAAAAATGTTTGATTGAAATTTTAAAGGGGAGGGGAAAGTATCACAATTTGATCATTGTAAAACTGCTGTGAAGAGGATTTCCTTACTGTATTGAGTAATTCAGATTATGTTAAAAAAAATTCTCTCAGAATTTTTAAAGGCTTAATTGGAATCCTATATGACTGCAGAGTAAGACCTTCTCTATAACAACCATTTGTTTTATAGGGTTCTTCGTGTAGGTGGGACTCTTTTGCTTTTACTTAGTCAAGAGCTGTCTTTGGAAATGCAGAGGTGGTTCAAGTCGAGGAACCAAAAGTGTGACCAAACAGAACTTTCTGCTGCAAAGGACACTGATAGATTATCAACGAAGCTTTGTTCAGACCCAGTGAAAGATTTTGACATTGTCGTTGAGGATATTTCTTTGCCCGGCATCACTGGTGAAAATGAAAAATGTGAAATGAAAATAAAGGCTATTGCTCCCCTAGTATCGAATGGTATTTTCCAAGTGAGCCTGGGTGTAACTGAGGCAGCTATACACAGATACAAGAAGTGTTCCGTAACATGAATGAACATTTCCAATGTTGTGGATTATATAAGAGGACGTTTTCAAAAATGTTAAAATTACCTCCTGATGCAATTGTGTCAAATTCACATTGCTGAGTCTTAATCGGCTTACGCAAACGTCTTTGGAGCTAGTATTCAGTCAGAGGCCTTTTTGGATTCAGTGATTCCGCACAAAAAAAAATGACACGTATCAAAATAATTATCGAAGAAAACATGAAGATTATGATATAAATACAATAAAGCTGAACAGAAATAGAAGAGAAAATGAAGATAAGTTGAGCAGAGGACATGCAGTAATGTTTTTAAAATGTAATTCTTTAGACTGGATAACTATTAGTGGTGGGGCAAGCTTGATGGGCTAAATGACTTCCTAAACTTGTGTCCTCACCAAGTGGTTTGTTTTTGAACCAAATTGACTACTTGTCTAGCTGGAACTATATTAGTGTGAATAATTCTGTTGTTTTTGCAAAATAATTGTGAGCATGTTTGGGACAGGCAATACCATTTAAGGTATAGTTTTATTGTAAAACCATAACTTGTTGTACAATTTTGCAAAAGTATTGATCCTTCTGTTTTGCTGAAGATTGCATTTTATGAGTGTGGATGTGTATTTGTGTGTGTGTATGTGTATTCCCAGATTTTTCAAACAAATTAACATTGTTATATAATGTATAAATATTAGGTGCAGTATGACTAATGTATCAGCATGCAGGATGTTGATGGGATCCTGTTTTTTACATTTTTATTACTCCGCTCTGTTTTAAAATAAAATACAAAAAAAGTAGTGGTGACTGAGGACTTGTAACTTGTGTACCTTGTCTTCAAGATGGAAGATGAATCTGGCAACACTGGATGGCAATTAGTCAGTCGCAGCAATCCTCACAGATTTTATTCCCCTTCCCTTCTTTTAAATCCTTGGGAGATGAGGATTCATCCTATTGTTGCCTTGTTGCATATCAACAAACAGGAATAGAATCAGAATCTCTATATGTGAGTGGGACCGGCGCAGGACTCGAGGCCTAACGATGAACGGGACCAGCGGGAGTAGTCTCCTTCGGTTGGTCCAGGTGCTGAGACTCTTCAAAATCTCCCGCCTGCACCAACTGCAGCTTGGTAGAATATAATGTATTGATATATTGTCCATTCTCAGATCTCATCATTATCTTGCAGGTAAATCTATTTGAGTACCATCAAATTTGTATAATTAATCTAATACGATGCATTAATTCTGTAAATTTGCTTGGACCTTACGCCCATTTAAAAGAATTAACACCATTCACTAATGGAGATAATTCCACAGTTTTGGATGACATCCAATAGCCATGTGTACATTTAAACAAAAATGTATCTTCTCATTTGATCTATTTAATTTCTTTATTATCAATCATGAGATTCAGCTTTCTGCTGACATCAGGGAGATTGTTCCTGGTCAAGAAATGGATGAGATGAGGTTTACAACCTGTTCTAGACATACGCAGCCAGGCATTTATCTCAGTTGATCTTTTGCCTTTTGCACACTTAGGAAATTTATACTTGTCAAGACTGACCAAGTTCAATGGCACCATGTATTATAGAATTAGGGAAAGCGTGTTAGACTAAATTGACACATAATCTGTCAATGTAATAAAGGAAGAGCTGAAGGGATGGGCACCAACAACACCTTGCATTTACATAACGCCCTCCATGTCGGGTGGCGTCCTGGAGCGCTTAACAATGGTGGAGCCCGATGCCGAACCAGGGGGAAGGGGAAGGTGACGAGGCGCCTCGAAGAAGAAGGTCATCAGGCGCAACCTGGAAATGGGGAAAGGGGACAAGGTGAAGGGAATGAAGGAGAGAGTTCCATAGCTTCGAGATGTAGTGGAAGGCACGACCACTGATGGTGGAGCGGAGGATTTGAGCGACAAAGAGAAGACCGGAGCCAGTTGAGTGGAGGCAGTGGGTAGTGCTATGAGGAGAGGAGGTTAGAGAGATATAATGATACAATGATAATGTCAGAGTGCTTCATAAGAACAGGTCCCATCCTGAGCAAGCGAGAACGGCGTAAAATTGATTAAAGTGAGGGCATGGAATGATTTACAAGAAAGACAAGGATATTTATAAAACACCATATGATAATTCATGCGTTGAGAGGCTAATTACAGAAGGCCTTAATTATGTAAGTCATAGCTACTGCAAATATTTAATTGTCAAATGCATAATTCTTAAATAATTTTTAATGATTAATTGTAATGATAAAAATAATTCTTAAATTTATATAGTGCCTTTCAACATTGGGATGGCATCTCAAAGCACTTCACAGGATACACAGTAAAGTGTAGCGACTGTATTTTGAGGTATTTTGTACTGCAAAATATGCAAGCTTACCTAAAAATGCGCAAAAAAACTGCAGATGCTCGAAATCTGAAAACAAGAACAGGAGTCACTGGAAACACCTCTAATATACGTATATTTTAACACCTATTATACTATAAATAGAGGTGTTTTAACCTTTGTTGCAAACCCCCCCCACCTTTGGTTGTATCATTAACACCTCTTTAACCCATCATCCCCTGTCCTCTACCTCATTTTCTTCTTTGTCTTCCTTGCCCTACCTCCCCCCCTCTCTATTCGTCCTTAAAAGCCTCTCTTTCCCAACGTGCCCCAGTTCTGATGAAGGGTCATGGATCCGACACGTTGATCCACTTTCCTTTCTCCATAGATGCTGCCTGACCTGCTAAGCGTTCCCAGCGACTTCTGTTTTTGTACGCAAGCTTAGCTGTTCTTAACACAAGGTTCATACACAGGTCATAATACATCAATGTAAAATGCTTGGATTAGCAGCTCATGCAAACATGAAATGTCTTTTTAAAATAAATTTGTTTTCATGTGTTTTAAACAGATATTTAAATAGAGCCTTAATAAAGCTCAAACGGTATCAGATTTGAAATGTAATAATACATCACTATTTCCAAGCAGAAGTAATGGCATAAATCTTTCTGTAGAAGAGTACCTGGTCACAATTTTAGTGACCAGGTGGACAATATGCTTACATTAGCAGCTTTTTAAATGCTAACATTACTCACCACTATCAGCATGAAATAATTCTACAAAATATATTTAGTGTGGACTGGATCCAAATGAGACTTTGGCCCAATTTCCTAATAATCCTTGCATTTTTTGATATATCACTGTATCATGTCTTCGAGACATCTCAAATGTACCTCACTGAATATACTATACAGTGAATTAACTGTTTTTGGGGTGAAATGCTGCAAACAATTGTGCACAGCAGTGTCCCAGAAACAGTCGTAAAATGAGGGACCTAATTATTTTTATTAATATTTCAAAATAGAATAGGTGTCACTTTTGCTCAGTTGGTAGCACTCTTCCTCTGAGAAAATTGTGGGTTCAAGCCCCATGGCAGGACTTTGAACTCACAATTTCGCCTGATATTCCAATGCAGTACTGGGGGTGTGCTGTATTGTTGAAGGTACTGTCCTCCGGATGAAACACTAAACCGAGGTCCCATCTGCCTGATTAGATGGACGTAAAAGATCCCATTGGCACTATTAAAAAAAGAAGTTTCCTGTGTTCTTTTCCAAAAATCCCCAAATAAAATTGGTCATTCACTTTATGGTTTTTTTGGGACATTGTTGAGCGCAAATTTACTTTTTTGCCTGCAAATATAGTCACTATTCTTTACGGTAAAATTCTGTGAAACGCTTTGAGATATCTTGATGCACTTTGCACTTCTATGTTGCCTTTCACATCTTGAAGCATTTGTTCTATTTCAAGTACTTGCTGTATAGCAGTACTGCAAGGCATTGCTGATGACCTGGGCCAATAGAAAAGTGTGGAAATATTTGCAAAAAATTTGGGAGCGTTGTGTGAAGGTTGCAGGAAATTGTGGAGGTCTTTTGTTAAATTCTGTGGGGAAGTTGCGGGGGTTGATTGATGCTATTGAGAGATGCATTTTGCTGCTAACCTACATTTTTTCTCTTTTTCATTTTTAAAAACTAAACAAGAAGAAATAACAACATCATAGATTATTGGAAAAAATCTATTTATTAATGTTTTCTTTAACAAAAACAGAACTCCTTGTTTTGTGTACTTGCATAGAAACTCCTGGAAGGCAGAAGCTTTTTCAAGTGGTATGTCTGCTCCAGTCAAACACCGCACAATGTCCAATAAGAATTCTTTCCTCTCCATAGATGATGCAGTGGCTCCAGAGAAGAAGGTTGTCAGAGCAAGTTGTCTTTGAGGTTCAGAATCACCTGGAAAGGAAAAAATAAAAATTGATCTTCATAATGCATTTGTCATCAGAAATGTTCTGTCTATTGTTTTTGTTTGTTGTGGTTGTTTTATGTTCTTTTAAAATTAAGTCAAAAAGGAGGGAGGTTAACTTTTGTAATCATACAAATTAAGATCTTCTTTCAAATTAAAATGAAAGCAAGTAATAATAATACATTTTTATTTAATATTATATATATCAAAAGTACTTTAACTTCTTTTTTTTCTTTATTGCCCCAGCAAGGCAGTGGCAATAAAGAAAGAAAAAGGTAAAATACTTTTGAAGTACATAATATTGAATAAAAATGTATTATTAGTTGATTTCACTTTAATATTTCCGAGATTTCATGTGCTCATCAATGGTGTACTTGCGAACATGGTCAATTGTGTGACAGCAAACGTGGCAAAATAACTGCCCCCCCTCTTCATCAAGGTCATCTGGATAGAGTACAATTTTTTGTATTGTACAACCTAAAAGTGAAACAACTCCTATTAAAACTATAGGTATGTATTTCCTGAAAATGTAGTTATGTTTAAAATACTAAATATTTTAATTTGAACCGTACAGCACTTACCGAGAAGTCGTCGCGGTAGTGTGTGACTCAGCTACTTTTCCTATCGAGTTTACTCACCGGCAAAGTCGATTTCCTGCACACGCCGCTTCCACAATCCCAAAATTTACCACGCCGTGTGTGTGCGATCGGAGCCGCTCCGAACATGGTAGCGGAGTCGAGCAAACAGCGTGAGAGGCCTGGGGCCAAGCGCACTGTGTGTAAAGATTAGTACCCGAGGGGTTGTTTGGAGTTTGGCAAGGCTCGTTGTAGTGGAAAAAGTGCGCCCGCACTTTTCTATTGGCCCAGCGGATGACAGATCAGCCAACCTGGCTAACTGGCAGGATTTGAAAGGGAAGATTGGTCAATAGGGACAGATATTCTTCCCAATCGGCTACTGTTAAACTTGCAAGGCAAATCGCTAATGAGTAGGGTGCTACGAGCTGGACAAGCACCGGGAAGCTTGCCAGACAGTACTTTGAATGGAAAACTACTCAGTTTTCGCTTGTTAAAGTCCAGCAATTCCCCAATACACTCTCTGAGGTCCCCAAACCTGGGTTCTCACCAAACTGAACCAACTAATCTCTGGAACTGGGTAAGCAGTGTGCATCCTTCCAGGGAGAGAGTGAATATTTCAATCCAGGTACAGGGAAATGCCCACGTGTAGGTGGCTGACACATATGGAAGTCTCAGTCTGATTTGGATACTCTTGAGCATGGTGACACATACTCAGTTAAACCCTCAGGAAGATAGTTCATACCGCCTGATGCCAAAGCCAATCTTCGCTTCAGTTGCTCAGGTTGGGAAATATCCCACAGGAGTTTATGCCACTTAACAAGTCTCTTGTGAGGGTGGCAGGTGCACAACAGCTGGGAAGGCACCATGTCACAGGCAAGAGTGAGGACTGGCTGCAATTGTATGTTGTTCTGTTGTCAGCAGATTGAGGAGGTAAGAGATTGGGTTCAGTGGAATAGACATTGGTGTCAGTTAGTGGTGACTCATGTGTTCCCCCCTTATACTCCTGG